TATGCAACTGCGTATGCAAAAGAAATTAAACATGCTGCATTCAAAACTAGACAGCTGGCAGTTTGGCTGTTCTTAGTTTATTCGGATTATCATTAGAACGGTTACCTTTAAAGAAATGCGTATTTCAAAAAATAATCTTATTTACATTTCCTACTACTTGACGGTACTGTCTCAGCTCTGTCAAGAATTTTCTTAAGTTCTAACTTTGATTAATCATACTCAAGTATAGATAGAACAGATTCCATGAATAAAGTCTTCTAAAAAGCCAAAAATTTTATATAGTCGGCTTTGGCAAAATTTTCATTGTTAGCACTGCTAACAAATGTAATATTTTGACATCATAGAAAGAATCTAGGAAAAGATATCAAAATTCTATTTGGAAGTTGTGCACAAAATGATCTTCGTAATCATAATAAGCATGTTTTACCATTGTGGCAAAATCCAGGTGCTAGCCAAAAAAAAATGTATATAAAATCGACTTAATTTACTTTTGGTCGCTTAATATTTGTAATTAACATACTAGCTTTCACTCTGATTTCTCTACTTACTACTCTGATCTCCTTGTAATCAATAACTTGGAAATGACTAATGTTTTTTGTATGAAATAGCTTAGCAAAGTTGCCCCAAAATGGTACAAAAACAATATTTTGTTTTGAACGATTTAGAGCCTTCTATAAGATTGTGCTCTTGTGATTATTTGCAAAAACAGAAGGATAAAACACTTTAATATAAAGAAAAATCATCGCATATTACTGGAAGACATAAGAGAAAAAAGATTACGAACCAGCTACTCGGCTTTTTGCTACACAACATTTTTCTAAGACACTCTCCTGTACGTTCAGCATGACTCTGACAAGCGTTATCAGCTATTGCGTTGAAACTGATGTGAGTCATAATATACTATCTTCAGCTCAAAACGACCCATTACTTTACCAGCGGAAAATTGATGGGGGAAAATCATAAAGTAGAAGACAATCGCGTGTGCGAGGATCATGGAACTTTAAAGAGCATTAACGCTTGAGGTGATATCGAATAACAGGCCAAACAAATCGAAGCTTATTCCGAGAAGATCGCAAACTTCGATTCATTTTATCCACAGTCATCCAACCGTATACCTACAGTAGAACTTGACCACGAAATGATTATAATTCTATCTGAGGCTCATTGGGAAAAATATCAATAAATACTTCCAACATTTGCCTCAATTGACATAATTTATGAGAAATACCATTTATGCATCAGCTATAAACTAACTTTATGAAATTCAGGAAAAGCAACGTTGGCGAGAATTAACGATGTTTGGACGAAAAAAGGAGAAAGATCAGTATAACAACAGCGATTACGGGACTATCGGTCATGTACCAAAATCTGCGCCACCGATTCCAAATCCAAAGACAAAGCCACACACATTCAACATCGTCTTACCTCAATCAAATGAAGCACTTGTGAATCATATGCCTAATGGAATATCTCATCCTATGAGTCAACCTGCCCATTCACCCCCACCACCACCACCGCCGTCCATGAAACCGCCACAAACCCGTCCATCATCAGGTCCCATTTTCTCAAAATTTGAAAAAAGCAGTCGGATGTCACCTAATCAAGGAGATGCCGCAAGTTCTGAGTCAACTCAGAAGTGTCCTCCTTTCACACATCGACCTGCGAATTTGCCGATACGAGAAGATGCGAAGGCTATGGCAGAGCATCAAACGGAACCACAATGTAAAAACACATCGCCAAAGGATATTCATGCTCCAGCACCAAAGCAAATCTCTCCTGGAACGTTGTATAAACCTACAGCTCCACCCAGACCAAGCGCTCAA